ACAAGAGTGTTTATCAAACATCCACTCAAGAGAGAACACAATATAGGTGAAAACAAGATGGAGTATCAATTTGTTTGCTGACGATGAGTACGACTGATAAAACGACTCATATCAGGGCTATCAATCATTATAGTACTAATGATCACTGATACTGCACACTGCATTGATAACGAGCGATAAACTGTGAACTCAATGAAACAGTGGCCGACCGACAATTACAATCTTTCGCTTATACTTGCTGGGAAGGAGGAATTTCATCGAGTTCGGTTTATACGCTCATTTTGACTTCATCAAAACATTGTAAGGAACATGATTATGAACCGCGATGAGAAGGGAACATTACATAGCAAAGATGCAATGTGCACTTCATTGCAATTATTAATCGAGCGAAAAAAACTGCTCGAAAATAAAACTGAAGGGCGATAAGAAGTTTTCATTTGGTAACAAATCGAGAAATTCAGCATGAGAAACAAATCAGTCAAATGTCACTTCCCGTAGACACGATTTATAAATCAGTGCGGAAATTTGAAACGCAAAAAATTTCCTCGAATTGCTCAAATTCGATTTGATTTCTGATTCAGTATGATTGATCAAGCCAAGAAGATCAATCATACTTAGAAGCCATATACTCAACAAATTCTGCCATAATCAGAGTAAATTTGAAGAATCTTTTAAAATGAAAATATTGCTTTCCATCAATTGCAACGAAGATGGGGGAGAGTAAGTATTTTACAGAAGGAAACTGGTTTCATCATAGCTGTTGTNAACACTCAGCGATTCATTTGATTGAAAACAAAAATGAACACCGTAGAAAAAAAAATAAAACTAATTACGTTATCGAGTTCAATTTCAAGGTGTTCAGGCGAAAGAGCATGCTCAGAAGTGGATGCGATCGGTGTATAACTCGGTCCAGCTTGACATGAAGATAACATCGTCTCGTAGATTTTCTCCAGCATGGATCTGTTCAGTGTTGCATTCGCTAGCAATGCGGCCAGTTCCATACTTGAGCTACTCGCCGCATCCAACTCTTCTTCCATGCCTGCGATTTAACAGACAATAGACAAACCCAATACAACAGATTGGTATTTAGAGCTTTCACGGACAACCGTAATCAGTCCATATAATGATTTGAGGGAAAAGCGCAATAGCAAATGGTAACTCGTTCGATTTCAGTTTTTATTTGCTAATCTTTGTATAGATGCTCACTTGTGTATATCACAAGCGATCGATGGCTCACCTGAATTTGAATTGAACAAAACTTTGAATTGTTCAGAAGCGGCCATTAACGCCTCTAATGAGCCACAATTACCATTTTCTTCAGCGATATTATTTCCCAATCTTGCACTTTTCAATGCCGGTGAATTATTATTGGCAGCATTAGCGAGTTGACGTTGGTTCGATCGTCGCTTTCGGCTAATCACTCGTTGCATTGAGCACAATTTTGGCACTCCTTAAGATACGGTCTCGGTTTATTTGGGGAAATACAATGAAGATATAATGATCTTTCACATTATATGATTTTGATCACATACATCAAATGTGTGATCTATCATAATAGTTACTAAAGCACTTGCTTGCGATCCTTCAGTTTTTGGATGAATATGTTTACTTATATCAATTCGTCATTTTCTTCACTGGTAACGACGTTGAATTTGAATGGAACGAAACTTTGAGAAATTATTCAATGGAATTCAGTGACTGTTACGATTAATATAAGTAACAGTTGACATGAACATGGGGAAAATGAAAGAAAATTTGAATTATCATCTTCATCAAATCCCAACCAAACGGCAAGGGCAATAATTCGGAAATATTCTCCACGAGCCTTCACTGCTATGGTGTGATATTCGTTTTGATCCATCACGGATTCTGTGGCAGAATAATTTCAGCCAATCTTGGTTAT